AAAATGTCACGGGTTCCAATCCTGTCATCCCTACCAATTCTTCTCCTCTTGGTAGTAACGAGGGATCCATTGAGATCGATTCAAATTGGGCATACATAAGATTTTTCATTTTATGAGACTATATGCATGCAAGATGTATTGGGGGTACAAAAAGAATCCTTTTCTTTACAGTCGTATCTACTGTGATGTGATAAGAACGCGCTCTTAGTTCAGTTCGGTAGAACGTGGGTCTCCAAAACCCGATGTCGTAGGTTCAAATCCTACAGAGCGTGATTCCGAATCAACAGACCCCATTACCGAGATATGGCAACTCTTTTTGAAAGTCAATAGTAATAAGAACTGTGTCGTCTAACTTCATTCACAAATGAAAGTCCATTATTGTAGAAAAAAAAAATGGAAAAAAATGTCTATTTTAGAACGAACAACGACCAACTAACACTTTGACTTTACTTTCACTCATTAGATTCAGTAGTAGGTTTCTTAATTGCACATAATATCGCGAATGAGAAGAGAAAAAGTCTCGCACGATCGCTCGAAGAAAGATTTTGAACTCCCTTGGCCTGTAGCATGGCCCGGCCCTGCAAGACTCCACCAGGTGTCGATTCTTTCTTTCGGACACCCCATTCTGCAGCAGAGTATGAGCACACGTCACGTTTGATTCCTATTTTCAGGAGCATGAAATCAAACACCCTTGACACGTATTCTCCACCGGAGTTCAGACCTCAACCTCTTGATTTGGAGATTTGACTGATTTTCCAAACTTTCTATATATGAAACTTAGAAAGAGCTTAGGACTTCTCTCTAAGTAAAGAAAGCCAGATGTATCTACTGTAGTCATCCACTTCTAATAGTAAGTTAAGTCAAGTCAAGTAAAGTCAAGTCAAGTAAAGTCAAGTAAAGTCAAGTCAAGTAAAGTCAAGTAAAGTACCTTGCACCTGTGAATGACTGCACTCGAGTAGGACCCCTTCATGAAAATGAGTTGTCTGTGATATATCCTTAAATCAGCCGTAGGTCAAATAAGGTCAAATCACAAGTGAACACTAACGAAGAAATCAATCCAAAGAAAGGCACACTTTCATTTGGATTCTTATGTTTAATCCGGGAGCATCTTATCCCTATCTTCCCACGAATCAATCGTTCATTCATGCTCTATTGGAGGAGGGTTTCGAGTTGAGATGGTATTCCTATTGGAGTGACCTCTTGGATTTGCCAACATTTATTTCCCATTTTACTAGCATCAAAACAATTTTCAACAATCAAAGATTTTACGCTTTCTTCCTCCCAAAATCACCTTCCCCTCGGTTTACTTCCTTCCCCGTGGAAACGACCTTGGAATACCACCAAGTAAAACACGATCCGTGAAAGTCTCCTTGCGCTTGGGGAGCATTTTTGTTCACACACACACACATTTGACATTTCATTCATCCACAATTTCATTGCCTTTTCTTTTGACATCATCCCTAGGAGAGTGACACTCCCCTTCATTCATATACTATACATGCTAAAAGGTGATGTTTAGAGGTTAGGAAACAACAAGGAATTTTGTCATGCATTTTTGGCGTCGTTGCCAGGGAAGGCAAGTGTCAACCCAAGAAGGTGATTTCCAGATGATGGAGGTAAGTCCTATGATCTTTATCATGAGCTGAGGTGCGTTGTTCCGTGTACATAATCTTGATTGTGTATAATATTTTTTGTATATATGTTGTTTTATGTGGAGGCAGAACGACCGAAACTGACTTGTTAGACAAAACTTGGCCTCTACCATGAATATTGACCAAAAACAACCCGAGGATGGGGGTGACAATTTTGACAATATAGGTGCAAATCCAAATGTCCAAAGGGGTGGGGAACCACAAGAACCCCAAATACCCAATCCAAGAATGAATTTTCCCCTCCCCTGAATAAGGGGAATAATTTTCAAATGGATCCCCCGGTGAGGTCAATGAGGGATTTCCTACAACCAAAATGAAGCACCACACCATCATGCATCCTCCTTCTGCTCCAAGCTCATATCTTTTCATAGTTAAGTCAGGGATGTTGCAGCAATTCCCACGTTCAACAGACTTGAAACTCAGAGCCCCTATTCACATATAAGGGATTTCGAGGAAATAGTTGCAACCTTCCTCCCCAATCATGGGATGGAAGAGATAGCTAGAATGAAATTGTTGTCCTTTTTCCTGAAAGACAAGGAAAAAATGTGGCTTATTTCCTTAAGGCCTCGAACCATCACATCGTGGAGCCAAATGATTTTCGAGTTTTTGAACAAATTCTTTCTGGTGCATAAAACCACCACCCTAAAAAAGTAAATTCAAAACTTTTTGAAAAAGTCCAATGAGCAATTCTATCAATGTTAGGAGAGGTACAAGGAATTGCTACAATCCCTTTCACATCACGGCTTTGAACCATGGCAATTGGTGAGTTTTTTTTATGAAGGAATCACACCGGGCTATCGGTAGTTCATTGACATGATGTGTAATGGGGAGTTTTTGAACAAATACCCTGATGAGGCCTTAGATTACTTTGATACATTGGCATAAAATGCACAATCATGGGACATTACAGGTCCCACCGATGTACCAAGTTCTTCTCCTCAAAGGAGTGGCCAAACTTAAGGGGGAGGGATTTATGATTTGAGAAACCGGGAAGACTTATTTTCAAAAATTGATAAATTGTCAAGGAAAGTTGAGAGTCTTGAAGTCAATAAGAGACACGAGGTGTCTAATGTGTCACGAACCGAGGAGGATTGTTCAATTTGCGAATGTATGGAGCATTCCCTATCGGATTGCCCAAACATTCCCACCCTTAAAGAAACGTACCATGAACAAGTCCATGCCTTCAACCAAACGAGGCAATCATTTTCTCCCAATTTGAATACTTACAATCCAAGTTGGAGTAATCACCCACATTTTAGTTGGAGAAATAAAAACTCCATTCCTCATGGTTCAAGTGTATATGCATCTCCTATGCCTCCTAAGCAAAACCAATACCATGGCCAAGGGCAAGCATCTAGCTCTCAATACCCCCAGACCAATCCACAAGGGCATTCGTCAAACCCACCACCACAGAATTTTTCACCAAATCAACCTCCACAAAGTTTTTCTCATGGGCCGTCCAATCCATCCACATACTAACCTCCTCACAAAAGGAATTTGGAGGATATGGTTCATTCCTTCATTCAAAGCCAAACCGTCATCAATAACCAAAATGCCACAGCCATCAATGATGTAAGAGCCCAACTCACAAAGTTGACAAAGTCCATAGGGGCATCTCAACAAGAAAAGGGGAAGTTCCCCGCTCAACCACAAGAGAACCCTAGGGGTCAACACTTTGTTGAGTCATCGGAACCTTCGAGAGAGAGTTGCGAGCAACTCAAAGCTATCACCACCCTCTACAGTGGCAAAAAATTGACAAAATCATTTTGCCAATGGTCTCACCCAAGACCACATTGCCAAAAGAAAAAGATATCTTGGGTGACGCCGACAAAAGTGAGGTGAGTGAAGAGAAAGAAAGAGAGGTTGTTGAGAAAGAAAAATTAATTGATGATTGTGTGTTTATTCCTCCCATGCCTGCCCTTTTCCCAAGTCGTTTGAAGCCACCTGTCAAGGTGGCTAATTATGCTGATATTTTGGAAATGTTTAAGCAGGTGAAGATTAACATTCCACTCCTCGACGCCATCAAGCAAATTCCATCATGTGCTAAGATTTTGAAGGACTTATGCACGGTGAAGAGGAAACTGAATGTCCACAAGAAAGCATTCCTCACCGAGCAAGTGAGCTCAATATTGAGGACCAACACTCCTCCCAAATTCAAAGACCCCGGTTGTCCAACCATAGCCATCACCATTGGAAATTTTCGAGTGGAGCAAGCACTCCTCGATTTGGGGGCAAGTGTGAATCTTCTCCCCTACTCGGTGTACCAATAGCTGCAGCTTGAGGAGTTGAAGCCCACCTCAATCACGCTTCAATTGGCGGATCGTAGTATCCGTACACCAAGGGGAGTAGTTGAGGATGTCTTAGTTCAAATTGATAAATTTTACTTCCCTGTCGATTTCATTGTGCTTGATACACACCCTGTTGCAAACCTTAGCTCCCAAATTCTGTAATACTTGGAAGACCCTTCCTTGCTACATCTAATGTCGTGATAAATTACAGGAA